TATAACACCAAACTGGGTGAGAACCTGCAGCATGCTGTTTTTACAGATTTAACCTGTGCTTTAGTTTATTAAAAAGTTTATTTCAAATTTGTCCACAAAAAGCAAAATATGATCTGACCTTACAGTTCTATTCTGTGAAAACAGCAAAATATGTTTAATGTATTGTAAAGTTTAATATAGTTTACAGTAAAGTAATACACAGTGTATATGAGCCCGTTCTCCAAAGCGCCATATAAGACGCTTTTGCAAAAGCGTAAATATCCAACGCACATGGCACCCTTTAACGTGAAATGAGACGCAGATATATTTGGGCAGAAGGCGCCCCCTAGTGGTCTAACCCTTACCCTACACCATACCTAAACTTAACCATTAACCGAAGCGTCTCATGATTAGACGTTAAAGGGTGCCATGTGCGTTGGATATTTACGCTTTTGCAAAAGCGTCCTATATGGCGCTTTGGGATGAGAACGCGTTGGGTATATACAGGGCATGTTTTTCTCTCTCTCTCTCTCTCTATATATATATATATATATATATATATACTTGTCTGGCCTGCATAATACATAATTTGTAGTCGCTTCCACGTATCCATGCGAACTGGAATAATTTTGATAACTTATTTTATTACCAAGCAATGCTTAATTTTGTTTAGTATGTGGTGTAAAAAGGTTGCATTAGCAATTATTAAAGAAAAAAACACATAAGCAAAACATGGTCAGGTCAAAGTGTCTGAATAATTTTTGGTCCCAAATTTTGAACTATAAATTTTACTGGTAATCCACTGTATAAAGAAATTTTGGGTATAATATGCCACCGTTTTTTTTTTTTTTTTTTGCAATCCTCACTTATATTAACTATTGTGTCCTGCACCCACTAGTAAGAAAATATCAAAAAATTATATCTGGTGCCTGAATAATTTGACTGTACATTTTTGACACCACATTTTCTCTGGTTCTAAGTTTGAAATGTTCTGTTTTAATTTCTCCATAAAAACACAATAATAAGAATTGGGATTCAAATTTGTCTTTCAATCTGTAAGGAATTTGTATTTTCACAGTATAGACATTCAGTTTTTAGAATGTTATTTCAAAACTGTAACTAGCCGTTTCTCTAATAACAGATAAAGAAATGAAGGTAAGACATGTTATGAATGTACCATTCGGATTCAGATTAAAGGGCCACACATTGTACAGCTTTGTAAAGTCCAGGGTTTTAGTTCAGGTGCTGTGTCCTTCAGTGTCAGTATAGGCACAGTGATGCTCACTGTCAAATGGATTTCACATGGGTACTGAATGACACACAGCTGTAACCGCATACACACAGAAGCACACAAGATGTTATGCAAGTGCTGTAAAAAGTATTCCTATGTAACGGACTCATGCTACTTTGTTCTGTTGATTAGATTCACTGAAGTATGCTCTTCTTCTGATTCTGCTATTAAACTGTCGTCTTTGCAGCAAATGAGTTGGAAAAGATGGAGCATTTGCTCAGCAGCTCATAACCCTGAGCTAATCAAGACGTTTGCTGGACAGCCAGTGATAAGGGTGCTTTTTTAAGTGAATGCAATCCATCAAGACGGTTTAATTGGCAAATGTGGCAAATTTACTCAGAAATTTGCAGTTAGCCGAAGTGGAAAACATTGGTCCTGGCTTTCAGTCTGAACTCCAGGCTCCTTTTTGTGGTGGAGCTGAGTGAACATCATGTTTTTCATTCGTGGGACATCTTCACCCACACAAGCAGGAACTTTATTTACGTTTCCAAGCATTTGGCGTGTGCATAAGCGTTCATATATTATTCATAAGTAACAGAAATGGAGCGAAATGGAAACAAATTGAACACACAAATCGCACAAATTATTTTGGTTTCACATCTTTCGAAATCAGCACCAAACTTGTATGCTTTTGTCATTTTTATTTAGTTGCTACATTTCAAACTGGAACAAGTATTGCATTTCATAAATGATTTGTAATTTCTCTTGTGTAGGAATTATTGGTCAGTCCAAAATATTCACACCCGTAAAACCTCATACAGCGAGTAGTATTCCACAACACTGCCAAGCCAACACATCAGAATGATAGATGAGCTCTTTTCGCACACGTATTTTGGCTCAAAAGCTCGGACTTAGATCACAGTTCCGACAGCCTATGCTCAAAAAATTTATAACTCACTGTTTGTATAATTGTCAGAAAAGAGATTGTGGTGAAACATCCCAGAAAGGGTTTGCCTGCTCTGCTTATTGTGAATATGATGGGAGATTGTAGCAAAGGATAAGAATTTTTTTTTTTTATTTATCCCCTTGTACCACATCTGATTTGTCAGAAGATTAAACAGTCTCCCAGACATCTAACACAGTTGAAACTGTTCCCAAATCGAAATATTTGGCCTTTTTACAGCTGCTTTTGCAACATTTTTTAGAGGGCAAATTGTGTGCGCTTGAAAACCGCTTGGCTGATTTTTTGCCCCTTTGCAGCACCAAACCAAATATTGACCAGGAACAATTTAGTGGTGATAATGTCTATCTATTCTTTTCTGTCCCCATCCTTTCCGCAGAGGCCCACAAATTATCTGTTCATCTCAGACCTAATCTCTTCCATATAGCAGGCTCTTTTATTGCACATGCCGGAATTTTGAGGGGGAGGGAGCAGCAATAACAGAGTTTTGGGAGTCAGAAAGGGTGAGAGGGGGAGTTCTAGACACTGAGAAGATCCAGACTAAAGCTTTAGTCTTTATTAATGATTATTTATAGCGAGACACTGACATCGTGTTTCATGTTTAACACGGTAAAGCCGCTTTAAATCAAGCAATTTATTGTTACTAGGGTGCAGAATTGCAGAGCTTGTGCAAACATATTCACGTAGCTATTATCAGATGCTTTTTTACAAATGCTTTCTGTTTTCTCATTTTTGTTGCATTTATTTTGTTATTGAGAGGAACGTGCACAGGACATATTTACATATTCATCGAAATGAGTCGGCGGCGTCAGATAGTAGCTCTGTTGGTTGATGTTGTTGTACAGAAAGAATGTTGTTACAGTTGGTCAGTGTGGTTTAGTCCCGCCCCTCCTCCACTGTGATTGGACGGGTGGGTAAAAAGTGACAGTGATGAGCGCTGCGTTTTATCCAAAGTTGAACATTATTCAACTCTCGGCGACCAGTAAAAATGCTTGGCGCTCTGCGCTTCAGCGTGAAAAAAACGCTTAGCGCCTCGTTACGCTCATTGCATTTAAAAAACGCGGCGCTCCCATTGAAAACAATTGTAAACATACACCAGGCGCGTGGTTTTTATCCCGCTGAAAACGCTAGACGCTCTGCTGAAGACGCTGTGCTGTGGGTGCAATAGCGTTTTGTCAGCGCAGCGTTTTTTTTTCCGTTGAGACGTTACGTTGCTATGATACAGAATATCCGCAGGACAGTTTACTTGTAACTGATTTCGCAGATAATTTCTTTCATACTAAAAATGTATTTTTCATCCATTTTGTTCGGTTAGCTCTGTTGGTTGATGTCGTTGTACAGAAAGAATGTTGTTACACTTGGTTGTTGTGGTTTAGTCCCGCCCCTCCTCCACTGTGATTGGACGGCTGGGTAAAAAGTGACAGTGATGAGCGTTGTGTTTTATACCACTCTCGGCGACCAGTAAAAAAAAAACTCTGAGCGCTCGGCGCTTCAGCGTGCAAAAAAAAAAAACGCTCTGCGCCTCGTTACGCTCATGGCGTTTAAAAAACGCGGCGCTCCCATTGAAAACAATTGAAAACATACGCCAGGCGCGTGGAAAAACGCTTTGGTGGACCCACGGCCTAACAGTATATCACTGCTCACATCTTTCAAACTTTGTTTTACCCCTAAGTGAACAATGAAAAAGAATTTCGCTTTGAGTATATCGGGCCTTAAAGGTGCTCTAAGCGATGTCACACGTTTTTTAGGCCAAAGCATTTTTTGTCACATATAGCAAACAACTCCTCAATATCCGCTAGCTGCCTATCCCCTAAACACACCGTAAAAAAATGCGGTTTATGCAGACAACCCAGGCTCCAGTCCACAAATGGCAACAAAGACAAACTGTGGCAACCCGCTCCACGAAACATAACAAACCACTCCAGCCAATAACTGACAAGAAGGCCCTGGGGGTGGGGTTTGGGGGGTCAGTGCACAGATGAGGAGGAGGGAGGGTCTATCTAGCCTCCGTTTTTGTTTGAAAATACTGTAAATGTCAACAAGAAGTCACGTAACCCGACATCGCTTAGAGCACCTTTAATGGTACAAATAGTGCATCCCTATTTTACCCCAGCATGTTGTTTATGTTGAGCATTATAAAGTAGTTTTAAAATACCTCTGTTTTTACTGTAAAATCACATGAGTAGGTTTTTCTCATTTTAGTAATTCAGCAAACTCTCTCAAGCAAGGTTTGGGTATTTAGATGTGGATGTGTGTTTGTGAACTCACTTAAGCCACTGAAAATCCCTTCCCCACACAATCAGTCCTAACCAGCGTCACTGTTTTGCCGTGCTCAGCATCTGTGGGATGGAGGGAAATATATCTTGTTGTCACTAGAAGAGGGCTGGACGAAGGAGAATGGGAAAAATGGATCCGACCTCAGCAGAATCGTTTCTTCAGTGAAAATGTTATATTTGAATGTCCCTCTCCTTTCCCAAAGCCACTATTAATTTAAGCTAGATTTACTCTTACAGGTACAATTTAGAAATGGATCAAATAAACACCATTTGATTAGTGGATTTGGTGACATGTGCTTGGTCTGCTGATTTATACTGCAGTTAGAGGGCGAAATAGAGGGCAAAAAATCAATTGCATCCTCCAAGTCTTATTTATGGCTGCGCAAAAGCAGAGGATGGAGAGGACTGCTGGTGAACTTGGCACCAGAGGAGCTCAACTGCAGAGGACAGAGTTCACAATGTGCCAAATCATAACATGCATACAGTACATATATAAAATTTAATAAAAGAATAATTTTTTCGTCCTTCATTTTATCTTCCCTTCCTGCATCAGATCCCAATAGAGGACCTCATTTTATGGGCTGCCGCTCCAGAGAGCAGGAGACCTTTCGTTGCTGGTGGAGCGCTGGGACCTTCCAGAACCTCACCGAGCCTGGAGCACTCAGGGTCTTCTACCAGACCAAAAAGTAAGAGACAAATCAATTTCAGTATTCAAATATATATATATAATGTAAATAAAATATTCAATATTGTCATGCTTAAATTGTGTTATTTGGCAGAATATTTATGACTATACGCAAAAGTGAATATTTTAAGTGCTTAAGTTTTTCACCGTCTTAAGTCAATGTTTTTGTACCTTTTTTTATTTTACATACGGTTTTTAACAAATTAATGATTAAAAGTGCAAGTAAAATATGTTTTAATTAATATGAGTTTATAAAAGCTGCATCCATAATAATTATAAAATAATCGTCAAACGCTGTTTTCATGATGCAATTTGTAAGTTTGATAAATTTGATAAATCCAGTGTAAATTACTGAGACGTCTAATATTCGTATACATCTAATATTATGTTTTTAATTATTATTTGATATTTAGTATCCTCCCTAGTGAGTGGCAGGAGTGTCCAGACTACACAAGTACTGTGGAAAACGAATGCTACTTCAACAAGACCTTCACACAAATCTGGATTTCGTACTGCATCCGTCTGCGCTCGGTTCCTCAGAACATAACCTACGATGAGGTCTGCTTTACAGTGGAGAACATTGGTAAGTTAATATATGTGAAAGTGCTTCATTAAGGCTTTGCCACAGTAACAAAAAAATCTATGTTGGAGGCCTGAAATGTTTTGTGACTTCCTAGTTCATCCTGACCCACCAATTGGGCTGAACTGGACTCTACTGAACGTGAGTCGCTCAGGGTTGTACTTTGACATCCTTGTGCGCTGGGCTCCCCCTCCGTCCGCAGATGTGCAGATGGGCTGGATGAATCTGGTGTACCAGGTTCAGTACCGGGTCAGGAACACCTCCCAATGGGAGATGGTAGGTCTCTAGCTCCAGAAAAAACATAATATTGGAGTTTGCAATGATTTTTTTTTACAAGGAATTATTGAAGTAACAGCATTGTGTGTGGGAGAAACTCGTTTGATTATTAGTCATACATGCGACTTATAGTCACATGATTTATGTTCAACCTATACCCGGATGCTGAAATTACCATACGTTCAATATATATTAAAAGCAATTCATGAAAAAAAGTTAGTATTATTTGGGGTAAATAAAAATAATAATAACAATAATAATATTGATCAATGATATTGGTCAAAAGTGATGGTAAAGATATGTATAATGTTACTAAAGATTTCCATTTCAAATAAATGCTGTGCTCTTGAACTTCATTCATCAAATAATCCTGAAAATCATGGTTTCCACAGCAATATAGCAGCAAAAACAAGAATCATTATTAATAATTGAGTACAAGTAATAATTGCACTAAATCAGCATATTAGAATGATTTCTGGAGGATCATGTGACATTGAAGACTGGAGAGTAATGATGCTGAAAATTCAGCTTTGCCATCACAGGAATAAATTATATTTTAATATATATTCAAATAGAAAAGAGTTATTTTGTTGTAATATTTCACAATATTACAGTTTTTACTTTGTTTTTGATCAAATAAATTCAGTCTTGGTGAGCATACGAGACTTTATTTAAAAAAAACATAAAAATCATAATTATTCCAAACTTTTGCCTGGTAATGTATAATTATATTTATACTAATGCTGTCAAATCAATTCATCGTAATTAATCACATGTAACAAAGTTTTTGTTTAAAAAAAAACCTTTACAATATACGATATTATTTAAACAGCATTTGTACAATATACATTGTACAAATGCTGTTTAAATAATATGTTTCATATTAATATATTAAAATGAACATTTAAAATGTCACATCTGCCAGTCAGAATCAAGCATTCAGCAGTGCTATGGCATGAAATAATATAAACCTAGAGAATCCATTTAGCAAAGCAAGACAGAGTTCATTAGACCATCACAGAACATTCTGCTCTTGCTGTTTTCATCTTCCTCTCTATTTCGGTGGAGGAAAATGGCTGTACCATCCTAATTATTGTATTCTGAGAAATACAATCTTGTGTTGGAGATGCAACATAAGCCAGTATCCATCAACTCTTTCTAAAAGGGTCACCACTGTTTCAGAGCAGTCCTGTGTGCTCTGTAATTCAGGCACATGTTGGGATATCTTTGTGTCTGGCAGGATCTTTAACAACCTCTTTCTTGGTTTACACTCCTTGACAGCCACGTTCCCCCGGCCTGCCCAATGGTCCTGCCCAGATGCACTAAAAACCACAGTCAGCCATATGTTAAATCACTGCCGTATGATGCCAGCCCTGAATGAATGAGAGGGGAATGATTCACTGTTATAGTTATTTCTGTAGGTCTTCTGCTGAGGTCACACACACAAGTACTTTATATTTTAGTTTCCCCAAAGGAGTTTCACAGTTATAAACTTTAGGATTATTTTTAGTGAGGTTCTCGCAGTGCTAAAATGCCATTTTACAAATCTTGCCTCGGAGAAAACATGGCTGGATAGACGGACAGACAGACGGACGGATGGATGGATGGATGGACGGACGGACAGATAAATAGACAGATGGATAGATGGATGGATGGATGGATAGACGGACGGACGGACAGATAAATAGACAGATGGATAGATGGATGAATGGATGGACGGATGGACAGTTTTTTTCCCTCAATCCCTTGATTTCTTATTTACTTTTTCATCCTGTTTTATTGCAGCTGGTCCGGGAGAGTGGCACACAGCAGTCCATCTACGGTCTGCTCACTGACAAAGAGTATGAAGTCCGTGTGCGCTGCACGATGTCATCCTTTGACAACTTTGGCGAATTCAGCAACAGCATCATTGTCCATGTGGCACAGATACCAAGCAAAGGTGAGTCAACATCAAGAGCTTAACTTGTTTTTGCAGAAAGTGTATCCAACTATCATGAATCATTTAAGCAAATTGCTTCAGGGTAAGGAAAGACCATTTTTCTTTACGCAGAATCAACATTCCCGACGGCGTTAGTGTTGATTTTTGGAGTGATTGGAGTGGTGATTCTTCTTGTCCTCCTCGTCTTCTCCCAGCAGCAGAAGTGAGAGATTTTGTTTATAACACCCATAAGGTGTATCTCACAAAGAAATATATATTCATATTGATCGTATTTCATCCCCAAATCAATGTAAAAAAAAAAAATTATTAAAAATGATGTATATTATGACAATTAAACACATTTTAGCCCCAATGTTTCATTATTGTAATGTAAAAAAATAAACACAAATTCTAACACACATATTACAAAAAGACAAAAACTGCATAAATAAAATTCAATACACCAAATACTATTTTTGTGCACATGTACTTTAGATGTATTATTAAATATTATAATATATATTTTTATATAATAGTAATAATAATAATAATTCATTATTGTTTTAAATAAAATAAATATATATTATTTGTTTTTAATCAACTTTTTTTAGCATTTATTTTGGGGTGAAATGTGACCTGAACGTAATTTGTTTCATGTTAAGCTGTAAGCAGGGAGATGCTTTGACTACACACAATTACAAAATCACATTTTGCTATTTTTTCCCCACAGGTTGATGGTAATCTTTTTGCCACCTATTCCTGCACCTAAAATTAAAGGGATCGACCCAGAGCTGCTAAAGGTAATGTTCATCATTTTGTTAATCTTTTTCACACAAATTATATTTGTTTTGGTTTTGCAATTGCAATTAATTATAAACATATGTAATACAGTATGTATAAAATGGAAAATCTCATGCCTGGTGCTTTTCTATTTATAAATATGATAGGAAGAAAGATTTAAAGGGATAGTTCACCCCCAAATCTATATGAATTTCTTTCTTCAGCTGAACACAAAAGAAGATATTTTGAATATGAGTAAAACAGTTGTTGGACCCCATTCACTGCCATAGTATGGGAAAAAATAGTCAATGGGGTCCATCAACTGTTTGTTTTCTGACATTCTTCAAAATATCAGAACAAAGAAACTCATACAGGTTTGAAACAACTTCAGGGTGAGTAAATTATGACAGAATTTTCAGGTGAACTATCCCTTAAAGGAGAACTCCGGCGAACAATTCACCTTTGGTCTAATAAAACATCGGTACATAGTCAACCGTTCTCTGAGATTTGTTTTCATGATAATCGAATGTAAAGAGTTGTATCTCTAAAAACTGTTTAGCGTATAATGCTAGTAATGGGGGCATTGACTAAGTAAAAGAAATCGCTAGTTTATACCACTAACAAGGCTCAAAATAGCCCCACACTAACGCAGTAACATAATGAGGCTCCATACATGCAAAACGAAGCATTGAGAACTTTGTAAGTGTACAGACCGTTTAATAAGAAGATACTTTATGAAGACAGTTCACTTCGCGTATACTTACAGAAAGAAGCCATTTAAAAAAATAGTCTCGATAAGTCGATCCCCGAACGACGTGCTGAGTGATCTGAACTGTATGAAGTTCAGCGAACTTCTGAACTGTATGAACCGCGTTCGGGGATCGACTTATCGAGACTATTTTTTAAGATGGCTCCTGTCTGTATACACGAAGTGAACTGTCTTCATAAAGTATCTTCTTATTAAATGGTCTGTACACTTACAAAGTTCTCAATGCTTCGTTTTGCATATAGGGACCCTCAGTATGTTTCTGTGTTAGTGTGGGGCTATTTTGAGCCTTGTTAGTGGTATAAAGTAGCAATTTCTTTTTACTTAGTCAATGCCCCCATTACTAGCATTATACGCTAAACAGTTTTTAGAGATAAAACTCTTTACATTCGATTATCATGAAAACAAAACTCAGAGAACCGATGTTTTATTAGACCAAAGGTTCATTGTTCGCCGGAGTTCTCCTTTAAGCCTTGCATGTTGCACAGTATAAAATGCATTACAACAATTATCATCAGAACAATGAGAGGTGAATACATGAATGAGAATTGTTCAAATTACGGCATTATAAAATTGAGCCTGTTTACGAATCTGGCACGAGTTGCAAAATGGCAAGAATCGCTGCAGAGAGAGATTCTTTTGAAAAGGTCATAATTGTTGACATTCTCCTGCAATTTTCTACTTCCAGAAAGCACTGAGACTTACTCCTCATACTCCATTTTTTAGAGTGCATTGTAAGCATTAAATACACTATATTTCTCTCCTTCACCAACAGAATGGAAAGCTTGACCAGCTCAATTCTTTGCTGAGCAGTCAAGATATGTACAAGCCGGACTTCTATCATGAAGACCCATGGGTGGAGTTCATCCAGCTGGACCTTGACGACCCTGCAGAGAAGAACGACGGCTCTGATACACAACACCTGCTGGGCCTGTCCCGCTCGGGCTCCTCTCACGTCCTTAATTTCAAAAGCGACGACGATTCGGGTCGTGCTAGCTGCTACGACCCAGAAATCCCAGATCCCGAGGACATGGCTTCCCTTCTGCCTGGCCATTCTGGACGGGGAGAGCAGCACCCGCTGGTTTCCAGAAGCAGCTCGTCTATCCCTGAGCTCGGCGACCAGCAGACATCAGAAGTGGTGGAGACGCCCGTCCAAACGCAACCTGCTGTGCCCAGCTGGGTTAACATGAACTTTTATGCCCAAGTAAGTGATTTCACACCAGCGGGAGGAGTGGTGCTCTCGCCTGGACAGCTGAACGACTCTCCAGGAAAAAAGAAAGAGGAAGAAAACGAAAAGAAGAAGATACAATTCCAGCTGCTCTCGGACGGAGCCTACACCTCAGAGAACACGCCCAGGCAGCTTTCCGCCGACGTGCCACCTAGCCCTGGTCCTGAGCAGGGGTACCAATCATTCCCAACCCTGGCTGTTGAGGGAAACCTCTGGAATGGAGAGTACCTGGTGTCCGCCAGCGACTCCCAAACACCGTACCTACTTCCTGAAACTCCTCCAGTCCCCATAATGCCACCAGTGTCGGACTATACAGTAGTGCAGGAAGTGGACGCCCAGCACAGCCTCCTCCTGAATCCTCCTTCCTCGCAGCCCACGGTCTGTTCGCACAGCCCAAACAAACACCTCCCTGCCATGCCAACCATGCCTATGGGGTACCTCACCCCAGACCTTCTGGGAAACCTGACTCCATGAAGACACTATAGATTGAAGTTGATGGTCTGGTTGTACAATCTCACTGCTGGAAACCAAAGTTGCAAGAACAACACAGGACGGATATAGCATTTCGTTTGGGAATTCTGCACATGGATTTACTCTGCTGTACGCTACAAAATGGACTGCCCTGAAAACGTTTCTTCTCTTTTCTGCTGTTGCAGTTGTGCTACGCTAGCTCGCCGAGAGAGTTATAATGCGTTATCGATTTAACGCCAGCTGGTTACATGCAAAAACGAAAATTCACTACAGAAATATGCTCGCTTGCTGTGTCGGAGAACCATTTTGAAAATGTGTTTGTTGTTACAAAGTTACAGAGCTGAAGTGGCATTGGGATGAAAAATATCTGATGAGATCAATTCAAACGTATCTTTATACTAAATTGTTTACACACAGATTAAAGACGTATCACATTTGCTCATAGATGGAATATTAAATATATTTCCTTGCCGCATATTACAGTACCAGAAATATATCTTTTTTAGGAGAAAAATGAATGGGAGCCATTTTGTGCGGTGCATCCATCCTGCACATTTTATCCTTTGCCATAGCCAGATAGATAAGAAACGGGGTTGTGGTGCCGATGTGTATTTTAGCATAATAGCATCACTATATATGACTGTAATATTTGCGATCATTGCTAGAAAATGTCAAGACAAGTGATTGTTATGCCATTGGCCCACAGAACAAGCTGTTACCTTGCCTTGTTCAAAGAGCAAGAAATGAACTTGTCTTTGTTTGTAGTGAATGTGAATGTGTCCAGGGGAAATGTAAAAAAATTAAACGTTTGTAGTCTTTGCTGTGCAATGCAAAACCGAATGGCAGGTTTTCTTATATTTTACTTTTGTACATGTGTAGCAGTTTTATATTGACGGAGACACTATAAATCTATACATGCTTTTACAATGGGAGTTACATTACGGAATAGCTGGGAAAGAAGTGCCAATTTTTTTTGACTTGTGGTATTACACAAAGACTGGCCATCAAATGAAGCTAAATCGTTCTTGCCAGGAGAGTATACTCAATGACTGGTCAAAGCTGCTTTTAACTAGAGCTATTTTATGAAATAATGCATTATAATATAAGAAATAATAACTGGAGATTTTTTTTATTTGCAATCATAGACTGTTAAGAGTTCTCAAGCCACATGTTGAAAACCTAGTCGGTGGATTTGTCACAGATGTAATTGTATGCTTTTGAAAAGTTTGTACAGAAAAAGTGTTAAGTTGTATAGATGAGCTTATTTTGAGCGCTTTGTCACTCTTACCTGTTCTCTGTTTTTAGAGAAATACAGTGGAGGTATATGATGGTGAAGAAGGAGCTTAATTGGCCCTGGGTTTGCCTATGATGCTTGAATACTGGGTCCTAACTTGTTTTAGGTGTCTGTCTGTTGTAGTTACAGTGCCTTCCAAAAGCTTTTGACTTTCTTCTGATTTTGTGTTCAATTTAATTGTGACCCAACTGTTTATAAGGCTCCTGACGTATATGTTTTAGCTTACCTCGAGGGCATCCAAGATGTAGGTGTCTTTGTTTCCACAGTATTTTCAATTTTGACATTTTTTGGTCAAACCATTGTTGTCTATCAGTCATATAATGCAGTTTTAGGGGGTCCACCTCAAAAAGCATGCACAGAGAAGCCAAAATTAAACATGATTTAATGACTTGTAAGTACACATTGATGGCCTAAGACACGAAACGAACGATTTGTGTGAGAAAACGAACAGTATTTACTTCGTTTTTACCTCATGTAACCACAGCCATGTCCAACTGATCCCAACTGAACCCTGTCCAACGTTCCGCCAGAAGTGATCTCTCACGTGTGTACGTCACTCATTACACAAAGATTTCGGAAGTTTTACCTTTCACTAAACATATTTAGTTATATCGAAATTGTCTTCCATTGCGATTTCCTGTATATCTAAATATGTTTAGATCTTCACAGCAAAAGATAAAACTTCCGAAATCTCTGTGTAAACAATGAGTGACGTACATGCGCGAGAGATCACTTCCGGCGCATGCGCAGACCGAAACGCCCGTGCCGTCAGATCAGTTGGACATGGCTGTGGTTACATGAGGTAAAAACGATATAAATACTGTTCGTTTTCTCACACAAACCGCTCGTTTCATGTGTTAGGCCATCAATGTGTACTTACATTTACAAGTCATTAAATCATATTCCTCTTTGACGTGGACCCCCTAAACTTGCATTATATGACTGATAGACAACAACGGTTTGACCGAAAAATGTCAAAATTGAAAATACTTTGGAAACAAAGACACCTACATCTTGGATGCCCTTGAGGTAAGCTAAAACACATCAAAAAATTAATTTCAAAGTGAACTATCCCTTTCAGACAGTCTCACAAACCGTTTCTTTAGTGTTCTTTTACTTTATGAATTGCTCTTAATACTTCATATTGGATATGCCAACAGAAGCTGAAGAAATATATGACCAGACAAAAAGGTTTTAATGCAGATTTTAGTCTCATCGTTTGCAAAAACAGTAGTCACGAAAATCTCATTTAAAAAAAAGGAGAAAAAAAAAGGAGCGTGAGGAACAGACCAAATTTGAAGCCGTTATTCACTGATTCTTTAGATCTATTCAGACTGGGTCATGAAGTTGGTGAGTTGATCCATGAACGAATTAATTGAAAAGAACAAACTCAAAAGAACAATTCAATCACATTTACGGTTCGCAGATTCACAAGTTTTCCATTGAATGTTGGCTTCAGGGAATATAGAGCAGGACACCTATGGATCTTTTTTTTTTGTTTTATTTTAAGAGATTTAGAGTCACTATGAAGTGTCATATTATAGAAAAAAGCCACGAGGAAGATTCTTCACAGTTCTGTTTTATTGCTCTACAGTAAAAAAGTAACAACATACAGGTTACTGTGAATGGCTTTATTGTAAGCACAAACATGACAGAATGTTAAATTTTGGGTGAGTTGAGCTTCATAACTGATGTCCCAGTGCTTTCTGGAAGTAGAAAATTACAGGAGAATGGCCTCAACATGTCATCAATTATGACCTTTTCAAAACAATCTCGCTCTGCAGCGATTCTAGCCATTTTGCAACTCATGCCAGATTCGTAAACAGAAATTTTAATATATCAATTTTATAATGCCACATTTGTAATGAAAGACTTCCCTGTGGTCAGTTTTTTCTCCTTAGGATGTGAAAGGTCTCAAATCTGCTGTTATTTACAGTCCACACGTAAATTCTGGAGTTATTTTATCGTCTTAGACGCACAGTATTTGTTTATTGTGGGTCTTAAGTTTTTGATTTGAAATTGCTTTTGGAGGGCAGTGTATGAGTTTTCATAATAACAGCTTGGGCTAATCAAATGTATTGTTGATTTAATAATTTATTTTCTAGAACTCAAGTGTCTATTGTTCCACAGTAGAATGAAGTGGCATAATTATGATGCTGAGCCTTTGTTATTGTGCAAACACACAGGTACGCCTGAGACAAATGGACCCAAAAACTGTTGAACAATGAGCCAGAGGGAAGGGCTTGATGCTGAAGCTCATATCAGAGATATATGTAGTGTAGATATAGGTGTAGTGAAAAAAATATACTGTATGGTACAGGAGAAAGTATTGTTTTTTTATATTGAACTTGAGTTAGGGAAAAAAAAAACAATTCAGATATTTACTTTTATATTATGACATGCAGAAATTTACTCGCACATAATATATATTTTAATAGTAACCCAGCCTACACTTTATGTGCCTCCGTACACATAGAGCAGGACATAAGCTAAATTCGTAATAGTAAAGCATAGGTAAGGGGTAATGATTTCACTTCCTGCACATGTTTGTTGTTTTATATATAGTATAGTGGGCCTATACATAATGTAGTCAATCTTTACACTGTGCTAAGCAACGTGCCATTCTTTTATATGTAAAGATAACGCCTTATTGAGAAATATCAAGTATTATACACCTCTGCTGCTGCCATTGCTGTGAAGCATGTTCATGTTTTATTGGAAATGTCTTAAGCTCCCATGATATGTGGTATATGATATGCATTTTAGCTGCTCCTCTCTCTTTCCTCGTTTTTAGCGTAAATTCTTAAAATGCATAGGTCTGTCTGAACACACTAGTTGACAAATGCACATGATATATAGACATGCTATAGTACAATTTATCTTCTGTAGGCCTATGTTTAGTTCTGTATTGTGGAAGTTTTATGGCAATTTTTCTTCAAATTATGTGTTTGCCTCATGGATGCACACCGCTGAGCATTATAAAAGAACTCGATTCAGGTTTGTTACTGAAACATTTGTACGGTTTGCTTTTGGAATTGGTTGAATTCGTCATACCTCAAATGAACGTAATTTGCTGCAGTTGCTTTTGTTATGTTTTCTTCAATTTAATAAAGATAGCTTCAAACAATTTGATTATCTGTGGCCGTATGCTGTTGGTTGTTTGGTGTTTTATTAAATGACATGTCACATGGACTGTTAATTTAATCTCGGTGTGCTGTACTGGATGAATGTGTGTACTGTGCGTTTGAGTGTTACTGTGAAAATATACGTTTCGGCTATACAAGCAGCATTTCGCTCAAGGTGAGAGCAGACAGGACAAAAATGAACTGAAATGGCACTGGACATAAGATTGATTGTGAACAGCAATGGAAAACCCTCCAGCATATTAAAAGAATATTGTTTTTTTACCAAACAATATAAGGAAAAAGTGTTATACTTGCATTATGGGCACCCAAGAGTCTGCATTTATATAGAAATGAACCTTTAAAAGTTGTCCATAATATATATATATATATATATATATATATATATATATATATATACACACACACACACACACACACACACACACACACATATACACTGTACCAGTCGAAAGTTTGGAAACATTACGTTTTTTGAATTTTCATCAGCCATTAATCCAGTCTTCAGTGTCGCATGAAGAAATTATTCCAATATTTATTCATAATAAACACAGTTATGCTTCTTAATATTTTTGAGGAAACTGATTTTTTTTCAAGATTCTTTGATGAATAGAAAGAAACAGCATTTATTATAAATATAACATTTTTGTAACATTTATTATTTTCACAAATGTCTTAACTGTCATTTTTAATCAAATGAAGTAATGATCCTGAAAATTCAGCTTTGCATCACCGGAATAAATTATATTTTTAAATATACAAATTCATTTAAACTGGTAATAATATTTCATCATATTATTTTTTTTTACTCGATTTTTGATCAAATGACTTCAACATTAGTGACCATAAGAGACTTTCAAAAACCTTAATGTTTCCAAACTTTTGACCGATTTATATTACATATATACTGTTTATATACTGTTACATATATATATATATTAGGGCTGTCAAACGATTAAACGTGATTAATCGCATCCAAAATAAAAGTTTGTTTTTATAAAATACAGTATACACACACATGCATGTATATTTAAGAAAAAAATATTATTTATATATAAAATATTTATATTTATATATATAATATAAATTATATATAAATCTACAGTATATACATGAAAATATTTCTTAAATATATACAAGCATGTACGTGTATTTATATATATATAATATAATTATACACAGTGCACCCACATAAACTTTTATTTTATAAAAACAAACTTTTATTTTGGATGCGATTAATCGCGATTAATCCTTTGACAGCCCTAATATATATATATATATATATATATATATATATACACCTCATCATCACTATCATCACCAGCCCTATAAAGACCCACTCTTCACCTCTGTTCACTCTCTGGTCTTGTTCATACAAAGAGGACTACTTACCCTGTTATCGCTAACCTTGATTCTCCAATGACCAGTCTCCACTCCATCATCTTCAGTGTTCTTCGTTCCAGCCATCCATCTCAACCACGATCAGTCTCCATACCTGTAAGAAGAACCATTCCACTCACCGCTCTCCAAAGTATCATTGTTCATATCACTTACCTGCATTTGTCTCCGTTCAGTGTTGTCAATAAACTCCTGTGAACTATCATTATCCATCTCTTGAGTCTGCTTCCGAATTACATTCGGTATATACTGTTCGGGGTCAGCCCAACAGTTTTCAACAAAGATACACTCTTAGAAGAAATGGTTCTATTTAGAACCAGAAATGGTTCCATCCCCCACTTCATGTATGGATATGAAACTCCAAAATGGTTCTATATAGAACCATTTTTTTTAATTTTTTTTTTGGAAAAAGGTTATTGGCCAAGTATGGAACCCCAGGGTTCTATAGAACCCAGAGGAACCCTTTTTAACCTTTTAGGGGTTCCAAATAGCGCTGATAGAACCTTCTAAGGTTCTATATAGAACCTTTTCTTCTAAGAGTAAATGTTTTTTGAGCACCAAATCACCATATCATATCTGAAGAATCATGTGATGCTCAAAAATTCGGCCTTGCCTTGCAGGAATAAATTACATTTTGAAATGTATTAAAATAGAAAACCATTATTTTAAAATGTAACTTTTGGTGAGTCTTTCAAAAACAGATCCCAAACTTTTGAACTGTAGGCTACTGCATAAACAAAAATATTGTATACAAATTCTGGCATTATATATTTATTTCTCGGAAGTATTAAATTTCCAGGTATTTCTTTGTTCATAATGTCTCCCAACAATTTAAGACTGGTAAATACTTCACTATTACTGTGGTCCTGAAATTATGTTTAGGAAATGAATAAATGAATCATCTCCCTTAGGCATAGGTAATCTCGAGTTTATAACACAACAGGAAGCCGTCTTCACTCTCATTTCATATGGGTAGTAATGGAAAACGGGAACAAACCGTAACCTGCAACTCAAGGGGTCCATTAGTATAAGGTTGGTGTGATGTTTATGACAGACTATCTTAACCACATCATTGAGAGCCATGCTGTGGAGAAGGCTTGATGCATTATGAAGGTCATGGTCAACACACCGAAGCCTTAATGTACTGGGAAAGAAGGAAAGCGCAGCCGTCCAGCAAGCTCCAGATAGAAGCTCTCCGGTCTCTGCTAAGTGGATACAGAAGCAGCAGGACCTCGGCTGATGAGGAAAGCAAATCAGGCAATTTGGCGAGCGGCGTGTACTTAGCAACACTGCGTGAGGCTGATTGAATCTGTGTAGCCCACTCTCACAGTCCGCCTCTCAGGACATGTAAGTAATTGCCCATGAGTCTCTGCTCCCCAGCACTGGATCTTCGGAACAATTAGGCCTATCAAACCCACCCACCCTGATCATTTACCGCCTCGACACTTGCTTGTTGACCTTTTCTGATGCGTACTCTGGACAAGAGGTTTGAGGACTTGGCGTTTACATGGCATCTCGTGGGCCGTTGAAACAAGGAAATGTGATTATTGATCACATGCTACACATGTTGCAGGGCCAAATGATTGTCACACAACCCAAACCACTCTCGTTGATTTGAAAACAATGAAATAGATAGGTTGGGTTACTATCCTGAATTAATTGAGGCCATCAATTTAGTGCAAATTTTCACCATAGCAAGTAAAACAAAGAGCTACAGTTGCATCCAGGAACGACGTCCATGAATTTCTTTGCTAAGCTATTATGAAAACCTCACTGATGAATATTACAGTGCAACAACATTATACATTTGGATGTGCTGCTTTAGATTTATATGTGGGATCCTGCATAGAAACCCATAGTCTGCAACCGAGAGGCTATGTTGTCTTGCAATTAATACTGCAAGTATAGGCTACTAAAGCATAAAGAAAATCTCTCCGGCTTTATTTTCTCTTTACCTGTTTTCTGCCAGGAGAAAGTCACGCACATGGACAGAGATTTCAGTGTGTCTAGTCTAGAAGGAAACACTGCAGACAGCTCCTGAGTCCAGGTCTGGGGGGGAAAAAAAATTTAAAGAGGCTCTCAAAGGGAGAGCAGCGTGGACTGAAGATGGACGCCCGCGCCATCTGTAGGTGAATTTCAGAATGACACATTTTATACACGCGTGGACAGTCTAACTTCATCAAGTTTCAACAAGTTTTGATGTTATATTTCCATTCCCTTCAAAATATATTCATAGTTTATTTAAAAATGAGCAAGACACCAAACCCCAACTGCTCCCGTCCCGACGACCTGGATGCCGCATTGCATGACTGATACCGCCGTCGGTGTATGAATGAGTGAGTGAATGGGTGAATGTGGGGCAAATGTTAAGCGCTTTGGGCGCCATTGGGTCTGTGAAAGCGCTATGCAAATGCAGTCCATTTACCATATGCATATACCAATAAATTGCGTTCCCTTGAGTTTGTTGTTAACTTCTTTGAAAAATTCTTAAGCAAAAATGGCTTAAATCTCCTTTGAGCTTTCCTCTTTTTCTTGCTGTTTTTGACTCTTTTATTTCATCCCTTAGACTTATAAATAACAAGAAAAGTGAACAATTTTTTATGTATTTTGATGATTTATTCAAAGACATTTTTTGACATGCTTTTCTTTTTTTAATGTATTACATAATTTGATGTATGCATACCCAGGATGCTTATTTTACCATTGTTTATTTGTTTGTACACCTTGCCTTACTTCCCTGTGTTCTGCAATAAATCTGCAATAAAATATATATAATAAAATATAATAAAATATATATAAAATATATATATAATATATAAAATAATCTGCAATACAATATATATATATATATATACACACACCAATAAATAGAATAAAATGTTTATTTAAATGTTAAACCACTAATTGCATATTAATTACATTTATAACAAGATGTATCTACATTTAAATGATTATTTATGTAAATGATTATAATAATAATAATAGCCCATGTAATTATAAGTCATTAATTAAATTAAGTTAATGAAATCCATTTATTTAAATTTCTCATTTAAATATATATAATATTTTATAAAATATCAAATGGTTATTTAAAATTTATTATATATATATATATATATATATATATATATATATATATATATATATATATATATATATATATTTAAATAATATGATTTTAAATCATTTAAATCATATAATAAATTAATGTTACTTTTATCCTTTCCTGTATAATAAATGAAATGAAATGGTTGGTAAGTATAAAAATTACAGAGACCAAGTTAGTGGATGAACAAAGTTATTTAATTTTTTACTTTATTTGAGTTTATCTGAGTTTTTTCCCCCCTCTACATTCCAGTTGCTTTTCACATTCATATGACATTGGCACCATCACAAACATAGTTTTCATACAATTTCTCGGGTCTTCCAGGTGATTTTCCAGAAAACCTTCATTAAGTATGTAAAATGTTTCAAACAGTCCTTCCCAAGATAACAATGACAACCTTTGTCCAGTTACTCCCTCCCAAACTCCTCTCTAATAAATGTGAAGTAAAAGTTACATTTTGTAAATTTCCCTAATATGATCCATTAACATTTGTGTAATGCAGAGCATACATTTTACAACCCGCTTACAACATTCGTGTTAGTAAATAAAATAAAACAGATTTCGATCATAAAGTGCTCCATTACCTTTAAATGAAGTATCTCAACAGTGTTTTAAACTCTCATGATCAGAATCTCTCCACCTACTACCACCTCTATCTCCACACAGCAAAACTAAAACATCTTTTTGAATACCAGAATAATGACAAAATAGATTTTTCATAGCTTAGATTGGGTACAGCAAAGGTTACAGGATGTTACGTGATCTTTGCCCTCTGCTCTGTATGGCCTTACATCGGACAGGCACCACTAGAACATAGTTTCTGCACCTGCCTTCATCAATGCCATATAAAGCATCCAGAGGTGAAAAGACACTAACATGATGAACCTGACACACTCTCAGAAGAAAACAGACACTGGACCTAAGTCAGATCGTTTTGTTTGTTATAAGACAGATTTAATCAGAAAAATATCAAAAACTTGGTTGTTTAGATTGAATTGTTTAGCTTCCATAAGAGGAACCAATTTGCGAATCATTCAGAATGGGAGGCAAAGGTCCAGTACTGCAACATGCTGAGGTGTAAATACTAGTTGGTAGATAAAACGAGAGCGCTGATCTGCAGTGCCGGGCTCACTGATGTTTCCGTGAAGCTATAAATGATTAGACAATTTTGTAACCAAGGCAACGGCCCTGTTTACTTCTCTTGTCATACTCAACTAGCATCACCTGCTGGTCAGGCTCAGGTTGATTGCGACGGCTCTCATTCAGTGGGGTGGGCGGGACGTCACTGTCAGGTCTCCCTGATGTTGTCCTCCACCTTCAGGCCCTGTCAGTGTCAGGAGGCTGGAAGAGTCTCCTCACAGTGTCAGAGGCCTGCCACTTTCCCACTTCCCTCCCCACCAAAGAGCAGTCGTCAGTGTCAGCATCAGCTGGCCACAGGAGAGTCTGCCCCCTGCTGTCAGCTGAACTGGACTTTTCACTTAGTGACCTTGGCTCAAGGTCGTTTCATCACTGGTTGTTTAACGGCTACTTGACCAAAGTCAACCTGGGCCAGGATCTGCTGACCCACATCAACCTGTTGTTGGCCGTGGTGGTGGTGGTGATGGTGAGGATGGTGATGGTGGGAGCCACCATGCCTATGCCTTTCCGCGCTACCGTGGTGATGACCGTGATGAACGTGTTCGTGATGATCGGGATGGTGAGGCCGTTCTTCCTCAGCTGGTGTATTCACATCTGTGGATTTCTTGCACTCTTCAAGTTGCAGTGAACTCTAATGATCAGAGGAAAAGGGCATATTGACTGTATGCCCTCTTAGCTATTTTTGGTTCCCCAAACATCCCTTTAGTGAACAATTCTTTAAAAAATATATTTTATTTTTCTTAGTGTGATTTTTTTTCTTTTTTTTTTCTAAACAAACATTATTTTGAGATGATTTTTTTCCTGAGCATTCGCTTGCACATATTCATATCTAATTTTGTAACATTACAAGAGCACTTTTTGTCAAATTAAAAGGTTTGTTATGCTTTTTTATGCAAAACAGAAAGACAATAACAATATAGGCTCACCTACAAAAAATATTCAGAAAAACATTCATAAAACTTATATAAAGAAAAAATATATATATAATATCCAAATAAAAATGCAGAAAAGCACTGCGCATAGCAGTTCCCTTTCGTTGTCACTCCGCGTTACGTCGGATGATGATGAATGAGGTTACGCTTACAAAGCCTATCAACTTCGAAACTTACAAAATGAGCCAATGGTAAAGAAACGTCCTCAGCGAAGAAACATATCTGCATATTGCCGGCGTTCTCCTTTCATACTCACGAGGTGGGGTGTAGTTGTGTCATGCGAATTCCGCAAACCCATGGCATTTCTTTGCCATTGGCTCGTTTTGTAAGACGTTACAGGCTTTATAACAACTTTATAGTTGATAGGCTTTCTAAGTGAAACCCCATTCGTCGTCACCTGGGTTACATACATAACCAAGATTTTTTTCAATGAAAATATGGTAATGTGGGGGGGGGGGGGGGGGGCATCACATTTACCTCTATGTTGCACTCTCCACAAATACCATCACAATAGGTTTTTCTTATAGCGTCCTCCACATATGGGTGGCTCAGGATGGTGTATGGAAGAGACAGATGGTAAGTGAGTCGGCCACACCTGGTAGAAAAGGGTATTAGTGGCATTTTGGTAAAGTAATATGCTAATCATGTTCATTGGGTGAATTAAGCTGAATAAGATGTGAGCTAAACCTGTCATAGACCAAAATGTCATCCTTCTCAACATCCATGGTCTGCCAGACATCCGGCTGGCTGAGGTCTTGGGCGTAAAGGGTGATATTTAACAGTCTTTCTTCGAGCAAGTGGTGCAGATTTTGGGACCGTTCATCTCGGTTGTTTACCACCATGTAGGTTATATTTACATAACCTTGGTTCTCCAACTTCAGGAGCAAGTCATTAAGCCTTGAAGAACATTCAACAACTTAGATTCGATAAATACACTTTGTGTAAACAGTACAGAGAAAACACTATCAAGAATGTGACCAGATATGGTTTTGAAAAACAAGGTTTCTTCAAACTTGTTATTTTTCAAATATTGCTATTTTAAAATCTTTGTATACCTAATCATTGCAATAAAAGTCTGGACTCACTTGGATGCTTGCTCCAAGCAGAACAGTCAGCTGGCCTGTAAGTAAGCCACCACTGTCACATGTCCATGAGCGTTCTTCATGGGCTCCACCTCCCCAACCTTCCACAGAGGAGGAAGTTTACAGCGGGCTCCATCTGTCTCGCTCTCTGCGCTGCAGCCCGCCAGGACGCAGAGAGCTAGGGTAAGGCTGAGCGCCTTCCACATGACTCCAAACAACAATCCCACTAACCTACACACAAAGATCAACAGTTTATGCCTCAAATCCATAAAAAAGAAACAAAAGAAAAATACTTTGGTATTTTGGTGTCCTCTAGAGCAGACATTTGAACTGTAAAATGCAGATACAATTCAAACCTTACAATCAGCAACAAACATTTAAGATGCATTTTATATTTTTATATTGTATATTATTTTATTACTTTATTTTATTAATTACGTTATATTATATCTATTTTTAAAAATGTCATATATACTTACATATGAAGATAACACGTTATATACTGTATTTATCTATATTTTATTATTTATTTTATTTCTTAAATTAAAATGTTACATCAATATACATCATAATGTATAAAATACTGACTTAATATAACTTCTTTTGGTGCACACATAATAAAATTTCTGCCCACTCAGCAATTACATATCTAATCGTATCGTTAACCTTAGCCAAATAAGATTTATGTACCTGTACTTATGGTAATTATATGGTAAAGCATAGTTCACAAATTAAAATGTTGTCATCATTTACTCACCCTCAATTTGTTCCAAACCTGAATTAATTATGCATATATGCAAATAATGCATTCTTATATAAATTTTAAAACCTCAAGCATCTAAGTTTTAAGCATATTTGAAGTTTAAAAACTGCATAAGTAATGCAAAGATGTTGTTTTACAAAAGAACTAAAAAGAGCAAAAATAATAAAATATCTCATAACTGAGGAGTGCACACTTACTTATTTTACTTGAGAGTCTTCAGAAGCGATGCTTTCTGAGCTGATTCTAGACAAAAACAACACGCTCGCTCCCAAACGGCTCCTCCTATTTATACTCCTCTTGTTTTTCCTGACTAAAAGCAGGGCAAAGGTCCCGCTGTCTTTGTTTCAAAAACTTGAATAGCTCACTTATTAACCCAGGGTTTACACGTATCAGCAAAAAAAATAAAAAAAAATATATATATATACATATATATATATATATATATATATATGTATTTTTTTTTATTTTTTTTTTTTGCCCTGGCTGAATAAGTGAGCTATTCAAGTTTTTGAAACAGAGACAGAGGGACCTTTGCCCTGTGTGTTTGAAGGGACAAGCCAGAACATTGAGCTGAAAAAAAAATGTTTTGTTTTTGCTAAAAACTGTCCAGAGAGGAAACAGTTAAAGAACTGCATTCCAGACTTCTGTTTTCCCAGACCCATAAGGCCTGAAAGAGGGGGCTGGGTGCAACACTGAAAAGAAAATACAACCAACTGAGTATCGGAGGACTGTGGACAACGCAATTTTTAAAGCATTCATTTGGAGAGAATCAATGATCAATGTGGATTTATTTGCATGGTTCTCTTAACATCCTGTAATTTTTGTTTGTGCAGCAGTGCACAGCTGGGTTAGTGTCAGCACTTTTCCTGCTGAGATGAAACTTTGAATCTTCCTGTCTCTTTGCTGATCTTTGATAAACATGCAGCGGAAATTGTATAAGACAGAAGAAACAATGATAAAACACATTTGATTGGACTTATATACACATAAAATCTGTTTCAAACATTCAAAGAAAGTCTCAAAGAAAGGTTGACATTGTGTCAAGGTTGGTCTTGTATCTGGACTGGTTTATAATCAATTTTATTTAGTTAATTTTTTTTATCACGTCTCATGATTTGGAGGAGAGTTTGACCGTGATGCACTTTAGATTCAGTTAACACAGATTTACTGATTACTGACAGTTAATAGTTAATAGTTAACTTGAAAAAGTATTATGAAATCACTGAATAAGATTAACTGATTCTCAGACAACAATATAAGTCAATTATAAACCAAATCAATGGATAGTGCGACAACTGAACATTAAATATAAGGCATCTTCAGAAATGGTCTTATCTATTTCATTTTAGGTATGTGAATTACAGTTAAGACCATTATGCTCAATGAGGACATGAGTCAACGTTGAAGTTCAATCAGTTGACAGAGAGTTTACTGAAGACAAAGTTCTCCCCACTTCCAAAGGAACTTAGTAGGGATCCAACCTCAAACTTACTTAAAATACAGAAACAATACTTAAAGTCAAATGGGCAATCAAGTTTTAATAGATACATTTAGCAACATCCAAACATGGTATTCTTAAACTATTTATTTAAATAGCACATTTAATACCAACATTGTTGCCCAAAGTGCTTCACAGTTAACTAAAACATAAAACATAACATACATGTATAAAAAACTTTTATCAAGCCTAACAGATGAAGGCATGACACACCTTTAAACATACCCCCCACACAACTGTTTAACCAAATTAAGTTATTCCAAGAGATTATCTTTTGACACTCTATGTCCTACAGTATGTACGTAAGCAACTTTGGTTAGGGTCACAGGGAAGTCATAGCTTCATGTTTGAAAGTGGAAATGAAGTCGTCAGTTAAGTTAACATTCTTTAGTAAATGGATTCCCACTCTAATTATTTATATAACAAGCATGATAAACCATTTAAAAGAAAACAAACTAACTTTTGTCAAAACTTTTGTAGCAAGGGTGCTGCAGTACAACCTGTGCTATAGAACCTTTTTCTTTTAAATGTTTTTTTTTAAATCAATTTACTAAATAATGTTGCGTTGAATTACTTTCCACTTTAAGATATTAGGTATGAATTAAGATTATGCTATACTGTATTTAATTTTTTCCCATGCTCAATCAAAATGTAGCCCTTTTACATTAAAAATTATCAGTTTTAATGACATATGCTTAAGAAACCCACACTAGAAAATTAAAATCTGGTCTCCCTTCTTCCATTTATTGCAAAAACATGTGTTTAACCAAGTCTCTGCCTTTCTTAGTACTTATCCTGCTGGATCTGTCTGTTACTTTTGACACAGTTTACCACCAGATCCTCCTGTTAACCTTCATGAAGATGAGCATCTAAGGAACCACACTCCAAATTCTTACCTCTCAGCTAGGTTCTTCAGGGTGTCATGGAGGGGTGAAGTGTCTAAGTTGCAACATCTAGCTACGAAGATACCTCAGGGCTCAGTGCTTGGACCACTTCTCCATCTCCATGTCATCGCATGCCGCTTGCATCAAATTCAAGGCACTGATGTTTACCAGAACAACCACAGGCTCTGCACCCCATACCTAAACGAACGACTTTAGACGTATGTGTACTCCAGAAGCTTGTGGTTTGCAAGTGAACAGCACAAAATTACTTTCTGGACCTTTACCTTGACAGTTCCCAGCTGGTGGAATAACCTGCCTAACTCAACCCGAGCTACTGAGTCAGCTGCTTTTAAGAAATGGCTCTCAACAATTGATACATTAATACTAACACTTGTTCTACATCTATAAAACACGCACATAAACTGTGCTAGACTAACTGGGACTGGTCACAGGCACAGCAATTGCATATTGCCATCCATATTGTTAGTTTGATTGTTTCTGTTGCTTTCCTTTCATTTCTAAGTTACTTTGGATAAAGGCGTTTGCAAAATGATTAAATGTAAAAAGATTTTTTCCCATAATGCATATATTACACTGAATTATTGATTGAAAGACAAAGCTCTCCACTGCCCTTCTGAGGCACGATTGAGATAACACCTGTAATATGTATTATAGTGTATATTACAGCGCGCCTCGGGAGGGCAGTGGAGAGCTTTGTCTGTCAATCAATAATTCTGTGTAATATGGGCTATGAATTGGGAAAAAAAAAATCTCTCGCAAATTACATTACAACATATAACTACAATTCATTTTCAACAATTAACTGATCAGAATAAATATTTTCATTTAAATAAACTCTGATTTAATTTAAATTCTGATTTAATTTAAATTCTGATAATCTGTGTATTTTTATTATTATAATTATTTGTGTTTTAAACAGAAGCAACTATATTGGATGACAATCACACTCCAACAAAAATGCCTATTTGTGATAAGGTTTCACTGCAAAATAAGAAGGGATATTTTTTCATAGGCTGTCGTGGGAAAACCTCCATTTGAATTAAGTAGATTTTTTTTTTTCTGAGCCCATTGGCAGATGTTTGTTCATGTTTTAATAAACTTTAGTTTCACAGAAGAAGTAAAAATAATAAAATTTGATGTAAATATAACAATCTTACATTTATAAATGACATTTTTTAATGTCATTTATAAATCTTAATGTAAGAATCTGTAGACATTTGCACCAGAAACACAGACATAAATTCTGTGGAAAAGCTATTCTAGTGGTTGAAAGCTGAGCTATTCAAGCTTTGGTCCAATAAATTAAAATATTGTATCTTTTGGAAGTCAAACTCTAAATCGTTGCAAACAGAATTCATTGTGTTTCTCCCTATGCATATAGACAACACGTCAACGTATTGTGCTCCCTTCATTTTTTTTTTTTTTTACTTGGTTTAATCTAAAATATAGGCTACCTTCATAAAACCTGTAGATCTGGTCTTGGTTGTTCCCTGTCTTGTGCTGTAGCCCACAATTAACAATCAATAAATGAATAAAATTTGAGGCTGAAAGAGTAGCCTATGTAGAAGACTTTAATTGGCTATAATGCTTAATTAGTTTGTAAAATAGAGCACATTATAGACTAAATAACTTGTTTTGTTTTTCTTTTTTAGAATTTGTGTTTTGTTTTAATCAAGTTGCCAATGCCAGCCAATATTATTTAGGCTACTACCATCTACCATATATGTCTATTATTTATCATGTGTACAAAATAATGCGTGGTGTGTGCATGTTATGCGTGTTGAATGTTGCTCCTGGTAAATTTCTTCTATCGAGGGCAATAAAGAATGAATCTGAATCTGAACCTGAATCGTATTTACATTTTCCATACTTCGCTGTTGGGCACCATTGCTTTGGTAAGCGCCAACTATCAGCCTCGCGCGATAAAACTCATCCGCAAGGGCTTATGGGAACTCGAGGCCAGAGTAGAACGACCGCCCTTTTTCGACGAGCGGAGGAAAAACAGCACATTGATCGCTTCAGGTCTCCAACGCGTATAAACAACCGTAATAAGCATCAGAGCGTCACCCGGGGTAAGTTCTCCGGAGCGTTAGACGCCCGGCGTCACTCATTATTTAGCCGAAAGGGAATTTGTCTGATTAAAATACCATTTTAATGCGCGATTTGATGACGTAACGACAATGGTCCAGAAAACAAATGGCGAATGCGTTAGCAGCCACAGGCCCAGCGTGCGAGTAACATGAAGCTGACCTGCACAGCGTGCTTCTTTTGCCGTTTGTATATTTCTGTGGGATCTCTATACGCTTGGCCTGTTGAAGTACGTGGCTTTTGCTGCAGTAAAACCGCTGGCTGACAGTCTTGCGTAGTGAAGCTCCCTGTAGAAAGGCGCGCCTATTCGGCATACTCTGCTTAGATATGCCCGCTAATCTATGGATCTGTTGGCATAGGGGCCATTACAAAGTATGTGCCTAATTTATCTAATAGCTTTATCAGTGTTGAATGAAATAATTATGTTAAAGATTGCAGATAAATAGCCTTGCATTAAAAATGCTTTGACATTTAACAGTTAATCTTGTAGCCAAAAATAAAAACTAATAGAAATTCCTCTTTTGTTACCAAGTGGTCACTTGCATGTTCATTTCTTTATTGTTATTATTATAACATAAATACTATACATCAATAATTTTCTTATTCCATCCTGTTTTTCCCCCCTTCTTCATAGTACTTGCATGCGCAGGGCAAGGGCTGAACCATGTCAGTTGATGGAGATGTTGACTATGGGCATGAGTTTCCAGCCCATTATAAAGTGATGCTTGACAAACTGAATGAGCAGCGTCAGCTGGATCAGTTCACAGACATCACTCTCATTGTGGATGGTAAGGTTTCCAGTCTCTA